ATTACTATAGACAAAGAATCCACAGGACCACATCTCAAATAGCAGTAACACGAATGGCATCACAACACTCTCTTCCAAATGCAAATGTAACATCGTCAACAAACATTAGCTCATAGGATACAACAGGTTACACATTCGCATGTGGGCATGTAATGTAAGAGAAAAAAAATCTCTATATTGGGCTGCAAATCGCAAACTCGATTAACCATAAACCAACATATGCATATATGACCCAGAAACACACATGATCTTTGCAATTTCACCAAGTATTTTAAGCATGTACAGTTAGATATAGATAGAGATAATACCAAGGACGGAGGACGGAGGACGAAGTGTCGTGAGCTGTCGTGGAAGAGGGATGATGAGGGCCGTCGCAGTTAAGGATGAGAGGTCGTGAGTGGGGGTCGCCGGGGTCGACTGTGTCTGTGTGAAATCTGAAATGGGGGAATCAGGATTCAGGAATGGGGTGTGTGCGGTGTGATTCGTGAAGGTGAAGCCGTGTGTGTGAGTGAAAATGAACCCTAATTGGATAGGATCCTCTGCTTTGCAATTTAGTGAAACCAATTTTTCAATCTATTATACAATGACATGTGTATGTATATATAATTTATTTATTTATTATTAATAAAACGGTTCGGTTCGGTTCGGCCGGTTCTTGGTCATTCGAAACCGGAACCGGAACCGGTTTGAACAGCTCGGTTCGGTTTGTCACTCAAAGTTGACTTTTTCGGTCAACACGGTTTTTTTCGGTTTTTTTTCTTACGGTTCGATGCGGTTTTGCGGTTTGACGGTTTTTATGCCCACTCCTACTAACGACCATATCCACAAGTGGATATTATATATGATAGTTAATTACTAGTTTGGATGGGAGAATTGTATCGCGTGTTTTGTTTTAAAGAAAAAGAAACCAGATGGTGGTTCTGCCACAACATTCTACTATTTCGAAGGTTAAAGACTTATAGAGTCATTTCAATTTTCTCTAGTTATCATTGTGCATCAGCGTCAGAAATCAAATTCAAGACATGTCGTATGAAATACGGACCTAAAATTAGTTGCCAACTACAAGACCACCTAGCGATTTAATTGTATGTTGTGTATGAAACACCAACTAATTCACACACTTAAGTCGATTAGAGATGAGTTTAATTATATTATAAAGAAGCGAAAATCGATTTAGTTTTAAATTTTCTTTCCCCAACAGCTCACATGCAAGATTGAGAATCTTACTGAGTAGCAAGGGCAATTATTATTCTCTAATATATATATATATTTGTAAAATATTCAATAAAATATATTAACATTGCTAAAAATTTAAATTAGACCATTGATAGGTTAATTTTTCAACATGAAAATTCACATGGCCATGCTCAAAATATAAGAAGTTTCTACTGATTGCAAGAGATTTTTTAGTGTGTCGAAAACACGACTAATACATCAAGCGTACAATAAATTTTAATTAATTATATTATTATATTTAATGTACAAAACTGTATTTTCTATACAATAAAAAATTTCTCATTTATTACACCGTCATAAACTAGTTGTAAAATGCATCAAGATCCACGTATAATTAAGTTATTAACTAATCATGTCCCATTCATTCAGCTACTTTTTTTTCTATTATTTTATATTTAATGTCGATTTATTCAACCATTTGTTTGGTGGACTTTTTTTTTTTTCTTTTCGAAAACAAGGAATTCACATTCCAAGGCAAAGAAGCCAAATAGGGATGAGAAAGCCTACCAAGAGGCAAACACCAAGAAAGACCAACCAAGACCAAGGCAGTGAGTAGGGATACAAGCATCAGACACTTTCATCAAGTAAAAGTACGTCACCCCAAACACCATCACAACAAAACTAATGAGGACACGGAACTTAAGTGAAGGGTAAAATAGACTCACTAATCACTATTAACGTAGATTTTTCTAATTGCTAGAAGCTAGATAAGAAAAAAGTCAAGACTAATTAAAAAGACTTGTTTCCATACATAGTTAATCCTATCACTAAATTCATACCATCCAAATCTTCCAAGAAGAGAGTTCAAATTTTGTTTTTTGTTCACAAGGCGAACATTAGGACAACACAAAGCAATGTGCTTGATGTACTAGAACATTGTAATATAGGCTTGTTTGGAACTATTTTTAAAATGACTGAAAATATTTTTTGGTGAAATTATTTTTTAATTCCAAAAGCAGTTGAAAGTGCTTTCTACAAGAAGCACCAGTTATGTGGTTTTTGTAGGAAGCACTTCAAGTGGTTTTCTAAGATTAACTTCTATTTTTAGTAATGATTGGTTTCAAAATTATTTTCTCTAAAATTGCTTTCAATTATTTAAAAACACTTCCCAAATGAGCCCATATTCTTCTTGCAAGAAGCACTTCAAGTGTTTTTCTAGAATTAACTTATATTTATACTAAAGATTTGTTCCAAAAGAACTTTCATCAAAAGTACTTTCAGTAATTTAAAAAACACGTCCAAACGAGCCAAAGTCTCCAACCGTTTTCACAATCTCTTTGGCAATTCGCCCTTCTCCAATTGTTCCTGATGGTCCCTTAGTCCATTGTTTATTGAGTCAATCATATGGATATAAAAAACAGGAGTGCGGGGTCGTAAAAAAGAGTGCAAAAATCATTTCCGTTTTCCTTCCGGCTCAACATTTCAGTCTAGTGTTGCACTTGGGCTTGGGCTTGAGCTGCTCCTTCTGGGCCTAAATCCTAAAACCGGAAATTCCTGCACTCACTTGTGTTCCTATTGGGCTCTCTCTAGAGTTAAACTAAACTGGGCTTGAGAACATGCTTACGGATTCAATGCGGAATGGGCCTTGCTCTAATTGCCCCTTTGGGTTTCTAGTTCTTTTCATTTATTTTTGTCTCTATAGTATTTTCTTTTGTGGTTTTCCAGGTTTTCTAAATTTTAAGTTTTTTTCTCCATATTTGTTCAACATTTTTTTTGGTACACATGGTCAATTGATAAACTTAATTTGGTAGGAATGTTGCCTAATTTGACGAACTGGACTAACAATGCTAACGAAATCGAAACAACAAAGACGAAACTGCAACAAAAAACTACAAGAATAGAAGTGAAAACCCAAATAAACTGCATATACTATTAGTATAATTCCACTTTAAATTTAGGTGCGGAATTAATTTTTTTAATATAATGATAATGGAGTGGAAATTCATAATCATGAACGGAACTATCTATTCATACGAAACCTCCCACTAACAAGTATATATATTTTTTAAATCTAATATTCATAAAGTCACATCAATATGTATATATGTGTGTGTATATATATATATATATATATATAAGAACATTAGATTTAAAAGGAAGAAAATAGAAAGAAAGGAAAAGGTTGAAAAGATTGTATAAAGTAGGTTGCTTAAACCCTTGAAACACCAAAGGGTAGAAAGAAGTCTAGAAGAACTACGTTGCAACTAGGAACAATGCAAGCATTTAAACGCACTCATACAGGCCGTCGCCGACCATAAACGCTTGGTTTCGTGCTTTCCATACATCGATAAGAATCCCTACAAATCGACGAGTATATTTCGTACATGGTAAGCCAATCTCTTTTCAATCACTCATATTTAAAAAGTAGGATTATATCTTTCCTATTAAGCTTTCCAGAGTCATTTTCTTGAGTTCCACAAGAATCATCATCCTTTTCTAGATTCTTGAATAATTCTGAGTTCTGACCAGTTAAGTCATTATATAGGACTCGTTTATTTATTAGTAATGAGAATGAAAAAAAAAAAAAATTGAATAGGTTATTCCATTCCCTTTTCTTATTTTCTTCCATTCCAAAGATATCAGATTCCTTATTTTTCCGTTACTAATAAGTAAGCAAGCCCTACATTCTTATCCAATACATGTACCACTTGTTATCGTCTTTTTAAAGAATACAAACCGATTCATGATCCTTGATTTTTAATAATCATCAAAATATGTGTTGCATTATTATTGATGTTGTTGAATAAAAATTTAGGATCCTGATTCGCGATACTCAAATATTGCCTAGAATATCTGAGAAAGGAATAGAAGTCAGGTTACCCGGATTGATTACCTTTGATTTGGAGCTTGATTATACTTAATTATCAAGTCAAAGGAAGGAGGCCCCTTCAAACAAGCGTGGAAGACCGGTGGCTTTGTTTGGCCGGCCAGCCACCCAATTTTCTCTCCCTACCCTCTCTCTCACTAGGACTTTGCCCTTGTTCTTTGACCACAACAGGACCCAAATAATGTATGGATTAAGCTACTAATCAAATTACTGAATTAGTAATGAGGATACCTACAATCCAATAGTTGACAAAGAAACCAAAGTGGCATTGACCCTCTCAGCCAATGAGATGAAAAATAATTAAACAAATGAATACACAAAAATGATAAAAATGGTCAAGTGGCGCCAACCACTGTAACAAAAAGGGAGTTTTAACAAAACACTCTTGGTACTGTTCATTTTTAACGAAAAACCACATTTATACCTTTCTCTAGTACTATTTATTATACCTTTAAAAAGGGTTTTTCATTAAAATGAAGTTTTTTTTTTCTTTTCGTTAGTTTTCCTTAACAAAAATGAGAGTTCCGACCCCAAGTTAAAAATGGCAAGTTGAGTAAAAAAGATAGTGATTTTTGCGTTATCGTTGTATTTATGTATTTCTTATTTTTTTTGGGTTTTTGACTCCTGATTTTCTTTAACTATTATAATTCAACGAAAATCTTGTATAAACACGTTTGATAAGTGTCATCTCAAATTGATTTCATATAGAGGAGGTTACTCTGCCCTTTTGGAAATATCTCACCTTCCCGTCTCTCTCACTATTCATGAGCAAATAGTGTCCCTTTTCGTTTCTTTCTTCCCTATATATATAGCTTTCAAAACGTTCATGACTCTCCAATAAACAAAAAGTTAAAACAGATACGCAAGGCCGAAGGTGTGATTTCCTAACGCCCTAAGAAAACAAAAAGAGCGTTAATTTCTTGCGCTGAGTCTTTTTATGGAGAACAAGAACATCACCACCAAGACGACGGGCGAAAACGACGACGACAACGGGATCATGGACGAAGAGGGGACATACAGCTACACGGCTGTCCCAATTCACAGCCAAGTGATGAAGATCAAGCAAGAGTTTGAGAAGATCAAGCACCCGTCTCTGCAGCAGCCTGCAGAGACGAGGCTGAGAAGGGTGCTTCTCCGCGAGATTACGCGCCAGCGCTCGCGTTCGCCGCTCGGGTTGGCTGCATAGGGATAAGCCTCGTTGGGGTTGCCCTGCCTGCATCTGCATGGTTATGGTGGCGACGCTTTAGAGTTTACTTTTTTCTGGTTTATTTCCTTACTGTTTTTCTTGCTTTTCTGTTTCTTCACCGCGCCAACTACGACAGTTCTGGTCTTTTGGGTTTTACTACGTCAGTTGTACAGGTTTCTGTTTTGTTGGAAATTTAAGGAATAGTGAAATTAATCTTAATTTTCCACTTGTCTGGTCTCATCATTTCGTACTTTAATTTTATGATTAGACATAATTTATTTATTTCTGTAAATTTTGCGGTTTAGGAGGATGATCAGACATCAAACTGTCTTTTTTCTCATCATATCATCGGAGAATATTCTTCAGCGATGCGTCAAATATCTTTGAATAATTCCTAAGTTTCAAGAGGTCACTTTTTCTGTGATTAGAAAGAGTCGTTTTCTTCAACTTGCTGACACGTTCAAGCATATTCAACCGGTAAAACTCATGGCCTGTAAGAAACTGCCCGTCACATCTAGTTCGACCTTTCTAAGAAAACCGAAAAAACAGCGAAATAGAGTTGCATTGATTCATCCAGTAAGCGGAACGATTAGAGAAGAACAAAAGAATCTGTGATTAAAACCAAAAAATACAATATTTTCAAGCATTCTACAAATGATAATGCTCAAATTACTAAAGAGCAGAAGAAAGATGCTGCAAAACAAAGTAGCTAAAACGAAAGGGGCAACAAACATGACTAAGAGAGTATTGTGCGCAAACAGCCACCTTTACTGCAGCAATTCAGCCTTTAGCGGTGACGGTTTCTTTCGATGCAAGAAACTTCACCCTCTTTGTGAGATCTCTCATCACGTCTATAATCACCGATTTTTTCTGAATTCTGAATTGGATAGCCAGCTGAGTAGAATCTGGAACACCTTTACTCAACAGGGATTCGTCTTCCATGATTTTGGTTGGGAAATGTCCCAGTGCAATCACACATAACGCAATAACGGTGCGAAAAGCAGCTAATTCATTTGCAATACCAAGGGGAGCTTCAGCTGATATGGATTTAAGTTTGTTTAAATCGTGCTTCTGAACTGTTTCTATGTCATCAGCCAGAACAACTCTTAAGGCTGCCAACAAGCGCCCCTCAACCAGTTCCGAGCCCCCTAAGCATACCTATTAAGCAAGACAAGAGTAGAACAAGATTAAATATAACAGTTTATATACGAGAAAGTCTAAAGAAGTCTTTCATAATTTCAGCACAACTACCATGATCAATCCGATAGTAATTATATATGTTTCAGGGAAGCAGAAACCTTAAGAAGCGGAGCTTCCCCATCTAACTTTAGCTGGCATAAGATTTCTTTCTGCCATGGAGATGGTGCAGAGAAGTTGGGCAATGATACTCCGGCAGCCATACTTGCAGCATCCAGAAGTGCTCCATCATATTTGAGTTCAATACAATCATAGGGGTTTGAAGGTATCACAAATCCATAATCCAGAAGGAAAAGATCATTGTTTAAACATCCATAGTTGAGCACTAAACCATCGTTCTCCTTGATCTCTGTTTCTGCCACAACCTGGATTGAGAGAGAATCTTGACAAGTAAATGAAAATGCGATTTTAAGTTTTCAACTATGATATCTATTGGAGATTTTCTGAATGAAATTAAAGAAACAAAAAAGAAAATAAAACCTTTACTAGCATCTTCATATTCCTGTCATCTTGGTCCTGAACTATTGCGGCATTTGGGTTGAAACTGTGGTTGCACATATCGATGAGAGGAAGCATCATCGGAATATCATTGTAGTTCCCGCCTGGAAGTTTTTTACCATACAAACGGAATGCCCGAGACGAAACAGCTGACATTGCCCATCCAAGAGAAGATGCATCTACAGCTTGGCCACCAAAAGGGTGATCATTTGGTTTCAGATTTTCCAGAGCACGCTTGACTTCTTGTTCAAAATCAAGAAGAAATCTGCATCTCTTGTTTACCTGCAACAGGAAATCACTAAACCTTCAAATCTTGATGTGAGAATCAAGTGATTATCAAGGTCAAGATAAGAATCTATACACAAGCTATATTACAAGGCCCCTTGAAATCATGGTGTTGAACGTTTATGTATCCAAAATTCATGCATATGCCCAACATGGCATTTGTTGCCCATATCGGAGGACATGAGTATCTATGCCATTTCTCTGTCCTGCTCAAGAGTGTCTATGCTATCCCAATTATTGAAAGCAATTTACAAAAATGTCCCAAGTTCGGATTCAGCCAACCCTCTCCAAGGCAATATCCAACCATAACTATAACCCACAGTTTCTCTAAGATATCAGAATATCTACGCTAGATTTTAAACACAACCCGAACTAGAGAGGGATGGAGGGAGGGGGCAGCTCGTTTTGCAGATTCCCAGCTCTTATATGGTCTCATATGCAAGACTAACTCAGTAGTAAATATTGGGATCTGTGATAAGGTACCTGGTAAAGAAGTGGAGCATACTGCAAATTCTTTATGTCCTCACCAGGGAAGAAGATGGGTATATTGAACGTTTCAGGGAGGCTGCTGATGTATGGCCACCAGAAGGATCCAGTTTTTGCTCTTTCTTGCAGAAGCTTCAAACCCAATTTCATTGCCCAAAGTTCCTCTGCCAAATGCTTCCAGTGTTCGGTTTACTCATATTCAAAACTCACTACAGCCTAATGTACAAAACTTTAAGTTACCACCTATGCAGAGAAAACAAAACCTAAATCCTATATAAATGCAGTAGGTTTTTATGTTAGCAAACATCTTATGTAAAATATTTCATACATGAAAAATGTACCTGCTAATGAAGCTCGTCTACAACTGAGGACACATTTTGATGAGGCAAGCTACTGCTAATTGAAAACATCTTATCCTTTTTCTTTTGAGAAGGCGATATTCTAAACTACGGGGATGGAGATTCAAAGTTGGGTGCAGGGATGTGGCACACTGCCGCGACCAACTGATCTAACCCACATTTGCGATTTAAAATCTTAAAATAAACACAGAATGTCACTAAGCATTCAAAATCCCATGGAAATGATACTTCAACTCCAATCGAATTTAGTACATATGAACATCAAAGTTCAAACCTTTTTGAACCAAATGAATAAAAAAATAGCCAAATGCGAAATACCCATTAACTAAACAGCACACAATACATCAAATCATGATCACAAAACCAATAAAGTCGGAAAGCCAAAAACACCTACCAGGAACTTGGATAGCCAAATTGTCGAGAACAGAGTCGACCCCATCCCTGCCGTCCGATTCAGTTGAGCCAAATCTCAAAGGTACGTGCTCCGGAAGAACAATTAGTTCGGAACCCCTTGGGATTTCCTCAGAAGCCACCAATCCAAGACCAAAGGAACTGTCTTGAGTTATCTTCACGCCCTCGTGCACAAACCCTCCTTCCCGACGGACCCACTTGATCAGGTCCGGCGGGTGTGGGGCCAAGCGCGCAGGATAAGAGGCGGAGGCAGCGGCGCAAGTTAGAGGGCGGAAGGCGGTGAAGGAAGCCAATAACATCTTGGAAGCTGCCATGGTCGAGCCACACTTCAGTGCTCCTTCCAAGTGCTGCTAAGGATACTTTGAGAGTTTTCGATGTTTTGGTCACGGACTAATTTCCATGAAAAGTTATGGTGAAGTTCCCACATTAACCCAATCAAAAATAAGGGAAGGTCATGGTTGCCGAGTTTTGACGGGGACAATTTCGAGATTTCATTTGAACTCAGACTTGAGCTGCGAGTGCCGGATGTTCGGTGGATGTCTACCCGAAGGAAAATAATGTTCAGCATCTTCTCACAGACATTGAAAAGTTCGGTATTCCATGCCGAAGTTTATCACATATTCTTTTGCTTAAATTGTTGGACTCACAGGTTTTATTATCTTCAAATCCATTCAGTTACATTGTAAACGTTATCTGTCAAACACATGACCACATTTCAAGGATTTATTCTTTTACTCAAATACTAATTAACTCTTAATCACTACAGGATGACCTAGTGGTGCTAAAATGTCTTTATAAGTCTTTTCGGCCTCTGAAGGGTGAACTAGTAAACACATCCCATTTTGTAGAATTTTTCAAGTTGACGGGGCCTACTCCAACGACACCGATACTGTCTCTATTTTACCACCTATCCAATCCGTCAAGTATGAGGTTTTATCATAAAATGATTCGATGTTAGTTAGAGTGAGGTAATTCTATTTGAAGTGCTTCTCTTCTTTACCACTGGCCGATGTGTTATATAAATGGGATTCCAACACATTTACATACAAAATCAAAATTAGAAAGTATTAACATTTCAATATCGATTAGATCCGAATTAATACAAGGATGAAAATGTTAATATGATCAGGTACTTAATCATAAAAATTCTACCAATTAACTGAAAGAAAAAAAAAACAATTAAATCACAGATGAGATGAACAAATCCAAAAAAGTGGAGTGTCATCAATGAATTTGACGTTGATGATCAACCTGAAACCGGATCAGTGTAACGCGATCCCGTCATCATCATGACCTTAAACTCCTCGAAATTGATCATACCGTCGCCATCACTGTCGACACCACCGATCATCTTCCGGCACTCGTCCATCGAACATTCGTCCCCCAAGCTCCGGAGAACTTTGTACAATTCCTCCACCGAAATCGAGCCGTTCCCGTCAATGTCGTAGACGGAGAAAGCGTCTTTGAGATTCTCGAGCGCCTCGGCCGGGTCGATCCCTTTGGTGTTGAGCTCAGCGAACTCTTTGAAGTTGATGAAGCCGTCGCCGTCGGAATCGACCTCGGAGATCATGCCGTTGAGCTCCTCGTCGGAGGCCGGCTGCCCCAGGCTGCTCATGATGGCCCCGAGCTCGGAAGACGAGATCTTGCCGTCGCCATTGACGTCAAATTTCTTGAAGACCTGCTCGAGCTCGGCGATCTGGGCGCGCGAGTTGAAGGAGGGGGATCGCGAGTGCGTGGGGGCAAAGGCCGGGTGGGGTGCTGCGGCGGCGGCGGCGGAGGAGGGACTGGATTTCTTCTTCCGGGAGAAGAGGGATTTGAAACCCATCTGGATCAGAAAACAACCGGAAACCGAAACCAATTGGAGGAACCAAAATTCAAGATTCAGATTTGTGGTTTTCTGAATTTGAAAATTGGGGGAATTTGGGATTTGTTTTTGGTTTTGGGGATTATATATGAAATTGGAGAGAGAAAATGCGTAGAGGAGAGAGAGTTTGGTTAGGGAGAGGGGAATTGGATGAAAAATAATAACTGAATGCAGGAAACAAAACGGAATCCAACTGAATCTCTATCTTTGTTTTCTGTTCAGTTTTACTCTGATGAATTGTTGCTAATTTTGGAAGAGAGAGAGAGAAAGAAGGATTAGCGCGTGAATTTAAATTACAGTCGTTACCAGTGTCCACTGCACACCAGCTCAATGACTCGCTGCACGCCACGCTAGCCCCGCTAGCCACGCGTCACCCACTCAACGGCCTCCTCCTACCCATATCACTTTCGTGTAGGTAGGCCATTCGGGCCTAACATCATTAGGGGCCGGTAACCTGGATTTGAATGTCTCGACCCAGACCATATCTACGACCCAATTGAAACAGACTTAAATTAGGTGTCGGCGTGCCCTAGGCTAGACCAGCCCGCTTCAGCATAACGCGTAAAAGTCCGTGATAAGAGGCACGTAATTGCCGGCGGAAAGGCTAGAATCAAATCATGCCGAGTGTCACACATTTTTTAATTAGAACTAATTATCTTAATAAGCATGATTAAAATATGTTAATGATAACCACGTGGTGCAGTGGTAAAGGGTATATTGTGAGACTTTCTTCAAATTAAAAACTAAAAGTTTTGGGTTCGAAACTCGTTACTGATGTGGAAGCCAGACTTGTGGCTAGGAAAAGGCTGAAATACCCTTGTCAATCTTTCTGACCTCCCAAAAAGAAAAAAAAATGGATATAACTGTGATTTGTCACCTGTCGTATCTATTTTTTAAAAGAAAAAAAATATATATATATGTTAATGATGAGTAAGGATGATGTGATACCAGTGCACTCCTAAATTGACTTGAAATGAAAAGGAATCTTAAGCTCTCCACAGTCAACCGCCCTCCCACCCCCTACAGTTCCACATGATGCCCTCCCACTTTACAGTCCTACACCTTCAGATGAATCTCTGGACATATTAAAAAACATCATTAATCAATCACACCTGGTACTCGTTTACAGGAATACCTGGTCGGCTCCTCCTCCTCCGCCCTTAATGAACCCAAACAGAGACTTAACCAAAGACTGAATCTTTTCAATCACGATGGACTCGAAATCCGTGCTTTTCCTGACCCACCAATCCTTCTTCTCCGCCGTCCGATCCGGCGACCTTGCGGCGCTGAGTCGGGTGGTGGAGAAGCTCGCCAAGGACGAGGCCGCCTCAAATGGGTCGCTGGTATCTGATCTGATGGCGATGCAGAACGACGCCGGCGAGACTGCGCTGTATATGGCCGCGTACAATAATCTGGAGGAGGTGTTTGGTTACTTGCTCAAGTTCTGCGGTGTCGAGGTTGTCAAGATCCGGTCCAAGCTTGATATGAACGCCTTTCATGTCGCAGCTAAGCGTGGCCACTTGGGTAAATTGATTACTGGCTTCACTCTACTTAAAGCTTTTGTTTGGGATTGAATTCATTGGTTTTTTGTTTGGATTTTAACTTCATTAATTGGAACGATCCTTGTATGTGCTGGATGATCGTAATAATTACTGGTCTTTTATGTGCAAGTTCAGTAATTAGTGATAACAAGTAAGAATACCCGCACTTCGCTGTGGGTTTTAAAAACGTTAAAGTTGATAAATGATTAGCTAGAAACATTGAGAATGGTTTTGTAAGCATAAACAGTCAGATCTCAGACTACCCAAAAGGCATTAAGTAATGATCAAACATGCATTAAGATCCACGTCCAAGAACTTCATCAATCGAGCTGGTACGAATGTTAAGAATCCTTCCGTTGTACAGAAGGCTACATGGAAAAATAAATCAACCTTAGAACTGCAGATAATCATCAAATTGCAAAGTAGATTACCTTCTTGGTAGGCTCAGGAATTTCCCAAGTCTTGGTTTGAGAGTCTAATGACATCTTTTGTGGCAAATCTGCTGCTTCTAAAGAACGCAAACAGTGAAGGAAATACAATCAACAAATACAAACAAAATCTAGGTCTTGGAGCAGTGAACATAGTTTGAATTTTACCATTTTACACAGAGGTAAAAGTCAAAAGTCAATCATTCAAAGGAAATACACAAATTTTGTAAAAGATAGATTGAAGAGGAAATTAGCCTTGTTTTAACTACAGAAATTTTCCTTTGCAGTCAATTAAATCATTATTTCACTTCTTCTTTTGTTAGTTGGTTTCAAACTCTAATAACCCATGTCATTTTTTACCATGACCAATATGTGATATTTGTTGCTGGAGAAAGAGGAAGCTAAATAGAAAAAAAACAATTTCGTCATGATGACAAATGCAAATTTCAATATATTTAAACACAATCCAACTCATGATGCCTAGCTTAAAATGAATTGAATTTGAGTTGGACATTTGAGGTATAAAGACCCTGGGTTTGTTAGGATTTTTCGATTTCTGAGAGCTTTACATCTTAGTCTAAATGAAAAATGATGTTTGAGGATTACATCTAAAGCATATTTCAGTTAATGATTCAACAGCTTCTGAATGACAATGGTATTCACATTATTTTTCACTTTGATTAAAATGTGTGACAAAGGTATTCACATATTACAATAGCCTAAATCAACCTCACATTATTGAATCACATTATTAAACAGGAGCGACAAAGGTACTCACATTATTAGATCAGTTCAAACTCTACCCAATTCCCGGGCACGTATAATCTATATCTACTGTTTGTCTTTCTATGTGTGTATCAAACTGAACCCAATTTCATATGAGATCGGCAGCAGGAAACGCGATCTTTTATGGGCTCCAACTTTCCTTCAAATCGAGACCAATTTCACTATTTTTCAGCGAGAGAGCACTCTGGTTTGTCAAGTGAGGCGGTGGAAAGTGAAGCTCTTTAAGAGGATGATGTTCCCTTTGACTGCTTGGAAATATGTTATTGACTGTTATTTATTCAGGTATTGTGAAGGCACTATTGGGAATTTGGCCCGAGCTTTGTAAGCTGTGTGACTCGTCAAACACTAGCCCTCTTTATTCAGCTGCCGTTCAGGACCATTTAGATGTAGTCAGCGCCATCTTGGATGCCGACATCAGCTCAGTGAGGATAGTAAGGAAAAATGGTAAAACTGCTTTACATACAGCTGCAAGGTATGGCTTGCTCCGTATTGGGAAAGCACTTATAGAACGAGATCGAGGAATAGTCTGCATAAAGGATAAGAAGGGTCAAACTGCACTTCATATGGCCGTAAAAGGTCAGTGCACTCCAGTTGTAGAGGAGATATTGGATGCTGACACTTCTATACTGAATGAACGTGACAAGAAGGGCAACACAGCTGTGCATATAGCCACAAGAAAATGCCGTCCACAGGTATCTTCATACTGACATTCTATTTCTGAAAAAACATGTAATCATAAAATCCTCGTCATTATGTTTGACATTTTACGTAGGATGAAAATATCAGCTCATAAAAACCTTGTCATTAACTATTATCCCTTCCATTGGATTTATCAGTTACTTTGCTTTACTTGCTGGGTAACCATAAGCCTAAATTGGGTTAGGAGCTAGTTCTTTACATGGAGATTCCTCTTGTGGCAACTTGCCAAGGAGTCCCTGCTTGAGTCGTCTTTACTACTACCCAAGACAGATAATGGCCATGCCTTGTTTGACGTGTGGGTTATCTACATGTGTGGGGATTATGGAGAAGATGTGAGATGACAGAGAATTATGATGGATAATAAGTAATGTGAGGATATATCAGTTAAAAATTTTATATTGGGACCTCATTTTTCCGTCGATGAAACTTTTGTTGATAAAGTTCGTCTTTTCTTCTTTGATGAGGAACCAGGAAGTATGGTATTACATCCTCAAAAGTGGTGAATCCAATTTCATATGTTTGTCTTTCTATGTGTATATTCATACTTCTGTTGCTCCTCCTGTGATGATGTTTTATCCTCTTTCTTTCAGATAGTGAGTGTTTTGCTGAGCTATACGTCTATTGATGTCAACGCCATAAATAATCATTGTGAAACTGCAAGGGATTTGGCAGATAAACTAGCATACGGGGAATCTAAATTAGAAATTACAGAAGCACTAGCGGAAGCTGGTGCCAAGTATGCAAAACATGTTGGCCAAGTGGATGAAGCAATGGAGCTGAAGAGAACTGTGAGCGATATCAAGCATGAGGTGCACTCACAGCTCATACAAAATGAAACAACTCGGCGGCGAGTTTCTGGCATTGCCAAGGAACTAAAGAAGCTTCATAGGGAAGCTGTCCAGAACACTAACAATTCTATCACAGTAGTTGCTGTTCTGTTTGCATCGATAGCTTTCTTGGCCATTTTTAACTTGCCTGGCCAATATGTAAAGTCTGGGGTGGAAGCAGGGAAGGCTAACATAGCCGATGAAGTTGGTTTCAAATTGTTCTACCTGTTGAATGCCACATCTCTTTTCATCTCACTAGCAGTTGTTGTGGTTCAGATCACTTTGGTGGCCTGGGAAACTGGGGCTCAGAAGCAAGTCGTGTCAGTGGTGAACAAACTAATGTGGGCTGCCTGTGCTTGCACCTGCGGGGCATTTCTGTCGATAGCTTTTGTGGTGGTCGGAGACGGGAGTTCATGGATGGCTACTACCATAACCGTTGTGGGAGTGCCTATCCTTATTGGAACTCTTGCAAGCATGTGCTACTTTGTTTTCAGACATCACTTTGGGGCCTTCCAGCGGGACTCGCAGAGGCGCATGAAAAGGGCCAGTGGAAGCAAGTCCTTCTCGTGGTCCTTCTACTCGGCAAATATCTCAGATCTTGATGATGAATATAACTCCGACCATGAGAAAATATACGCTTTGTAAACACGGATACGCCATGTGGGGAGTTTACTTGTTTATCTGTCGAAGTAGCAGTTAATGTTCATATTTGAAGAGGTGCTCTGCTGTAATCTTTGATCACGCCAACCGTAATAAACAGTTGATTGTATATTGTATTTTGTACTTGTAACTACAGATCACGTTCGATCAACACTTCCGCAGCTCCCTAACGAAACCATTTTATATGGTTTCACATGCTCCCATGGCTACCGACCAAGTCTCTGGTGCGCTTCAAGTGCGTCTGCAAGTCATGGTCCTCTACAATCACCGGCGACTCTTCCTTTCTTGAGGTCACCTCCTCCTCAAAGTCGGTGACCACTCCACAGGCTACTACCACTCTCCCC